TCCTCCTCCACCCTCTCTGTCTCCATCACCTTCCACATACACATACAGACACACATACACACACTCACATACACATGCACTCACATACACATACAGACACACATACACACACTCACATACACACACACTCACATACACATACAGACACACATACACACACTCACATACACATGCACTCACATACACATACAGACACACATACACACACTCACATACACATGCACTCACATACACATACACACACAGACACACACACTCACACACATGCATACATAAACACACATACATACACACACACTCACACACACATACACACATGCACACACACACAGACATACACACATACACATACACTCACACACATGCATACATAGACACACATACAGACACACACATGCATACATAGACACACATACAGACACACACTCACACACATGCACACAGACACACAAACACACACCTATACACACCTCCCCCCCACACACACACTGTGTGTACACGTGCTATAGCTAGTCCTGAGAAGATGAAAGCTGGGGTTGAACAGAAGGGAAAAGGTATGAGTTCCACTGGTCCTTTCATGGGAGAAGGCCAGAGCTGGGGGTCCTCCACAAGCCCCAGGGCATGCCCAAGCCCTGTCACCAGTGGAGATGAGCACAAAGGATGCTTTGAAACTGGCTGCCTCAGGGAGGGAGGGGACACTGACATTTCATAAGGATGGCCAAGTGAGGAGCCACCTGGAAGCCAGGCCACAGGGCTGCTAGCAAGTGAGGGAAAGCCTGTGGCCTGCAGCAGGTTTGTGAGGCCTCTTGTGTGGTGCTGTCAAGGTCAGCAGGTTTGGGTTCATTGAAGGGTCAGGATGGTTTGAATTACTGGCTCTGCTGCAAGTAGGCTCTGAGGCTCATGACTGACTCCCAGCTCCTGCGCTAGGCCCCACCCTCTCCCAGACTGTCTGGCTTTTCCACCCCTGTGGGCCAGAAAATGAGGTCCCAGACAGCCCCCAAGGCCACCATGGTTCCGAGGAAGACAGGACGGGGAAGGGTCGCTCCCTGGTCTCAATAGTCTAGGATGTCGCAGGCATCTGAGTCTCTCAACCCTTCATTTCCTTCATAGCCATCCTGAGGGGTTCCATGCCAGCTGTCTGTCTTTCCCCATTGCCCAAGCGTCTGCAAAGATGGGGGCACCCAGGAAGGTGAGCAGCAGGGCCCAGGGAAAGCCCTGAGCCTGGCTCTTCCTGCCCATGAGAAGGGAGGAGCTGTACTGGGGGTTGGGGGAGTGGTGGGGAGAACAACAGAGCTGAAGCAATGGATTTCTTGCTTGATGCCCTGGCTGGGGGAGGGTACGGGGGGGTGGGTGGGTAGAGGAGAAGCCAACCCAACCTCCAGGGGAAGATGAGGGATAAAGGACACACACTGATATGATGGGTGCTTGTGTGAGGGTGACAATACAGGAAAGCCATGGAGGGCCTGTTTGCATTTGCAGAGAATGTGTGACCTACATGCAGTGTTCAGGAGCAAAGAGACACAAATAATCCTCTCTGCAGCAAGTTAGCACCCTCTTTCCCGGGGTAGCCAACCTCTCTGTTCTTTCTGTCAATGCATAGAAAATGCATCCTGTCATAGCAAACCTCAGAATACTTCAAGCAACTCACTCCTGAGTCACAACAGCACGAACTAGCTGGGAAAAAAGAAACAACAATTTGGCTTTCATCTCTAGTGTAAGTGTACAGATTTCTGCACCTGTCCGTCCCACACAGCGTGGTTAAACCTGGTGCCCCCTCACAGAACAGCACAAGTTACTTCTACACAGGACCCACAGCAAAGGCTTAATAAAACATCCACACAACCTGCATTTGCTTCTGAAGAGCCACAGGCCCATGGCCAACGCTAGAGTTCAGCTAAAATATGTGATCTAACTGAGATAGGAAAGAACCTGCCAAAGGTACAGCCAGTCTCATTTCCTTGGTTACCAAGAAGGTATAATCAGAACTATGAATGACTGTTCATAAGTTGGTTTCTTTCTTTGGAGTCTTAGTGACCTTTGAACTTAACTCTTTCTTGAACTGGGTAGTAGCCAAATTCTGAGTCTTTGCTGGAGATGAACATAAATTGAGTGTTATCAATGCAATGGAACCCTAGCACTTCTCTAGACGGGGCTCCCACGATGGTGCTCTGTTTTCTGGACTGCCAACGGGCCTGACACACTGAGGCAGAGTCTTCAACACATGCCATAGTAGTATTCAGCCATAAAAACCCAGTGTGACCCACAAGGAGCCTTAGTTCTTCCTTATGCCAGGGTTTTCTTTCCCTGACTTCAGTTATCTTCCATCTAAAAATGTTAAGTGGTTGGGGCCGGAGAGATGGCTCAGCAGTTAAGAATTCTGACCACTTTTCCAGAGGACCTGGGTTCAATTCCCAGCGCCCACATGGCGGCTCACAACTGTCTGTAAGTCCAGTTCCAGTGGAGCCAACACCATGGCAAAGCACCAATGCGCATAACATAAATAAATAAGCAAATAAATAAATAATATTAAGTGGGAATTTTCAGAAATAACAATTCATAGGTTTTCAATTGTGTATCTTTCTGGGTAAGATACTAGAGCTGTCTGCTCAGTCCTGCCTTATGGACGATTCATGCTTGTGCTCAGTGTATCCATGCCATACCAGTTGGTCACTTAGTGACTGTCTCCATTATCAGATTAAATTTCACAGTAACAAACTATCACTATAATTATTCTGCTTTATTATTGTTGTTTGTCTCTTACTGTGCTTAATCTATACATTAAACTTTTGTATGTATGCGCTGGGAGAAATGAAGCCTGTGTAGACAGAACTGGGCATCCAGGGCTCTCCACTTTATTATTGTTGATTGTCTCTTACTGTGCCTAATCTATACATTAAACTTTTGTATGTATGCACTGGGAGAAATGAAGCCTGTGTAGACAGAACTGGGCATCCAGGGCTCTCCATGATTTCAAGTGTCTGCCAGGGGTCTTGGAGAGACTTCCTTATGAGTAAGAGAAGACTACGATATTTTCAAGTAATGAGTCCCATAGCACATTCCTCTCTCCCTAGCTTATTCTAACTGTACTCTTTCCCAGACCTGCGTGTGTGTGTGTGTGTGTGTGTGTGTGTGTGTGTGTGTGTGTGTGTGTGTGTATGTGTGTGTGTGTGTTGTGTGAGTGCACACATGTGCATATATGTGTGTGTAAGGACTAGGTAGGCACAATTGTACCCAGGTGCTTGACTTAGGTTAAAGAATCAGTCCAATCTCATATTGTTGACCCAACATTGCAACCTTATGGTGTCTTCTGACCGAGTCCTCCCCCAACACTTCTCCCAGCTCCTTCAAACTCTATCCTGTCCCATTGAAACAGCTTGTAGTCAGCAAAACTTCCTGTGTCCTTCACTTGCAGGACAAGCTCAAGACCAAAGGCCACTGAGTGAGTCAGACTCAGTTTACAGTCTCTACCTCTAAATGCCAGTCCATACCCTTCTCAGGTCACAGAAAGCCTACCTATCCAGCTGTGCTCACCCCTAAGCTGCGGCCATAGCAAGCTGTACCCAGAGATCCAAGGCCAAGACGGCTTCTCCTCTTCCCCAGGATCCCCCTAGCCTGTCTTGTCTAACACTGGTTCTCTTCCCAGCGTTCCTCCAAAGGACAGCTGGGAAGAGCTTGGTGACCAGGGCTTGCCTGGTTTCCATTAATGAGATACACGAGTGTAAGCCAGCCATGGAGGCAGCCTACAAAAGGAGGCGATCACGGCGGCCAGGAGCCGAGCTGCTCAGGTAATTGGTTTATCTATCTGGAAGCAGGGGGAGCAATCTCAGCACAGACAGACTAGCAGTAAAGTCTCTTCCTTAAGGCTATTTCCTTTGTCTTTTCAATTGCTTGCACATCCATGTGAGAGAGGGAGAGAGTGTTAAAGAGAGAGGGAGAGGGAGAGATGTTAATTTGTGAATTAATGGCTTTTCTCAGCGGAATTGTAAATTCAAATGTCACCTCACACGGTGACACCACCGCTGGTCTGCTGAAGAAGCAATGATAAGATCCCCCCCTCCCTCAGTGCCCCTCCCTCCCCAAAGATAGCTGTGGAGTGGAACATGCTACTTTTAATTTGCAATAACAACACAACAGAGGTATGCAGTAATGACTGCCTTTTCCACCCTCCTCCCAGCTTCCTGCCCCCCAGTCCAGGTGGCTCCCCCATTTCCTCTCTCCCCACCCCCTTCTGAAGACCCACCCCACACCCCACTGCCCCTACCCCCCCCACACCCCAGCCAGTGGCTGATCACATGGGGGGTGCCTTTGGAATTGACGATGCTGCAACCCTCTCTTCTCCTTCAATAATCAGGGAATTAATGACCCTGAAGTTAGAGTGAGGCTGATACCGAGGCCCTGCCCAGCGCTGGGAAAAAGCCTTCATTGTTTTCAAGCAGGAGGCGGGCAGCAGTGAGGGAGATTCATGGATGGAGATTGAATATGCAATTTTCTTTCACCTTGCCAAGAGCTGCCCCTGGGCTGTGCCTGGCCTAAATTTTTCCTTTTACCATCTCTGCCTTATCCGGCCCTCCCACCTCCCTTCCATTCTTTCCAGAAAATTACCTTCAAAATTGATTTCCACTTTTACAAACAAATATAATGGGAACACAGGAAAAAACTTGGGCCGTGATGAATTAGGGCTGTCAGGTGCTTCCAGGTCTCCTTTGCTTTTGTTTTACTACCCGATCTACTCTTTGTTTTTCCAAGGGCTGGAAAAGCTGCCCCCATCCACTGAGCGGCTGACCCTCTGGGCCACCAGGCCTCAGCCCCAAACCTCTGTGGTGGGCCATGGTGGAAGGGATCCAGGCCCAGAGACTGTTAGCTTTCTAGGGCTCCCAGTGAAAGTCTGTGCCTCTGCCTTCGGTTGGCTGTCTGCCCATAGGACCCATTTCTCTAGCCACACCCCCAAGCTGTCCCCCTTGACCCCCACGCCGCCGCCGCATTCCCTCTGGCCCTCATACCTCTCAGAGTCCAGACCAGATGCAAACCTCCACCTCCTCTAATGTGGACAGGATCAGTGTATACCTCAACTAGAGTAAATAAGAGACAGACAGACACTGAGAGATCCCGAAGGACAGACAGGTGGATGGGGGCCAGATCCCCAAACTGGGAGACCAGGCTCCTCTTCAAAGAGACACAAAAGTTCCGAGCTGCAAATCACACGCAGCCTGAGTGAGAAGGACCAGTTCTATACCTGAGTCTCCCTAGTCTTGGGGCCCAGCCGCTCTCAGGGGTGGGCTTAGGACAGCCCGCTGATTTGCCAACATTGATACCAATGGGTTCTTGGGGCTAAACAATATGCAGGACCATGAACACTTAACATGCCTAGGCCTGGCTTAGGATGCTCCTGGTTACCGGTGCCAGCATGTACATAGCCATACAGTACTTTCTCCAAGCATGTGCATTACCTAGAAAACGGCACGCCTTCTCAACATGTGACATTCCACATCCCTTTCCTCCCAAAGATCTCAGAGTGACATCACACACACACTACACTTGCATAAACCATAGAAATATTATGTATGGTTCGGGAAACAATCACATGTTCTCCAAGGTAAATAAACGAACTTGCATGTAGGAGCAGAAACGCACACAGGAAGACACAGAGAGCAATAGCTCCATTTAGAAAAGGGAGGGACTTTTATATCACATGCGTAGAAAACTCTGGTGGAAGCTAAAAAATGACAAATGGCCCACTGGATAACCACAGAGCAACAAGTGGACAGGTAGAGGTAGACAAAGTGTCTGAACCATGCAGGTGAGACCAACTGCCTCATTCTTTCTAGATTAGCTTAGCCCAGAGTTCCCAGAGCCCGCTAGGGTTAGGAGTCTAGGCCCAAATAGACTTCTTTGTCTCACAATTTCATTTCCTTCTGGTGAAGTCTGTACCTGTCAGTTAGACTGCTTCTTGCCTAGGTGAGCCGTCTTCCAGGGTGGAGCTACCTCAATACTCTAGAGCAGCGGTTCTCAGCCTTCCTAATGCTGTGTGACTCTTTAATACCAGTCTTCACGCGGTGGTGACCCCCAACCGTAACATTATTTTCATTGCTACTTCATAATTGTAATTTTGCTACTCTTATGAACCATAATGTAAAAAATGTCTGTGTTTTCAGCCTTGCTAATGCTGTGTGACTCTTTAATACCGGTCCTCACACGGTGGTGACCCCCAACCGTAACATTATTTTCATTGCTACTTCAAAACTGTAATTTTGCTACTCTTATGAACCATAATGTAAAAAATGTCTGTGTTTTCTGATGGTCTTAGATGACCCCATGAACGGGTCATTTGGCCCCCGAAGAGGTCATGATCCCACAGGTTGACAACCACTGTTCCAGATACCTGATGTTTTAGAAACCTCTCTGTAAGAAGAAAGGGTTGAGCCTGGTGGTGGTGGTGGAGGTCTTTAATCCCAGAACTGGGAGGCAGAGGCAGGCAGATCTCTGAGTTGGAGGCCAGCCTGGTCTACAGAGTGAGTTCCAGTCCAGCCAGAACTACACAGAGAAACCCTGTCTTGAAAAACAAACAAACAAAGAAAAGAAGTAAGGGTTGTACCACCCCATTTGACAGAGGATCTGGGGTAGTGAAATGACTTCCTCAAGGTCACATAGATGTACTACTAGCAGCTCTAGGGTTCCAATCCAGCAGTGTTCACAGTTAAGCCAGGGCTGCGTGGAGCTTTGGGCCTGGCAGGCCTCATTCACGCCCCTGATAAGGAGTTTTGAAACCTTCCCTTGTCTCAATCTAGGGCCCCTAAACAGGAGCTGGTCACTTCCATAGTTCAGTTCCCTTGTGTGCTCCAAGCACAGCCAGAGCACTGCTCTTGGCAACTTCTAGGAGGACACTAACTAAGGAAATAATCTGCCTCTTCTGGCATCAGCATCACCCAGCATCACCCAAAGCAGTGATGGGACTCGGGGGCCATTTGCAGTTGTGAAGCCTGTCCTGTCCGCAAATGCAGCTTGGCACCGCCCACTGCACAATTCATTGTACACCTAATTAATGGAATACAAAATCACGGCTCCCTACAAGCTCACACACACCAATGGCTGATACCAACACTTATCTGCAGCCTCTCACTGTATGACTTCATTTGGACTTTTGGACAAGTTATAAAACTCCTCTGTGCTTCATCACCACTGCCGGGGGACAGCAATGCACCGGGCTGTGGCTGAAAGCAGTGGAGGGAAGGCAAAAGACATGGGTTTTCTGCGGTTCTTTTGTTTTCTTTCCAGGTTGGAGATCGAACCTAGGACCTTATGCCTGCCACTTAGCCACACCCCCTCAGCCTGGCTTTAGTTTCTCGGTCTGATTATAGATAGGCTGATATTCTGTTTTCCGACCACAAGAGCCAAGGTGTGTAACATTCAGGGAATTAGTTTCTGAGATTCCCAGAGAAGCAAGCTCTGATATACCTGCCCTTGACTGTGGGTTGGAAGTGACAGTTTCAGCACGGCGTGGATGAGGATTTCTCCTCCATGGACTGATGCAGGGCCTGTGTCCCAGGTACTTCATGCATACTTTCTTTCTCTCTCTCTCTGGTCTTTCTGCCTAGGGTCCTAGATCCCTAGTAGGGTCCAAGCTGTTTGAGTGCCACATTTCTCCAGAGAAAACCTGAGATTTTGCATATTCCCACAGGTCAGGGTTTGGGAAGGAATCTGAATCAGCTCCCACCCAAACCCTGAGTCAAAGCCGATTGGCCCTTGATGAATGTCCCCGTGATTGCCACTGATACCAATGATGCTGCCCACATTCCAAGGGTCAATACAAGCAGCATTCTGGTTATCACCAGGATGACACCAGTAACTATGCTGAGCAGGCCTTCATTAATACCAGTCACGGCCCACCCTTGCTAATGCCCCCCACAGTGACATGGTTAGAGCCAAAGAATGGGGCCACATTGTGAGGTGGAAGCCAGAGTTGCTTGCTGGAGGGCAGAGGGACACCTAGCTTGCCTCAAGATAAACGCTTCTAGGGAGATGTCACTACACCTGAGGTCAAAGGAGGGTCAATGTAATTGATACATTTAGGACTCTCCCAGAGGGAAATGCACTTGGCCCTCTAGTCCCTCCCGGGTCCCTGGACATACATTCATACACTGTACTCCCTCAGATCAGTTTCCATTTTACCCCAAGTCCTGGCCCAAGAGTTGAAGGACACACCTGGGTGTTTGTACAGCCTGTGCCCGAGGCTCCTCCTGCGACTGCGACGACAAGGGGCTGGCCTGCCAGCTGCTTTGCTACCTTGGCCTGACTGCAGAGTTGGGCTACATCATCTTGACACATAATTATCTCCCCATTCTTAATCATCCTAGCTGCTCCCTAATGCAAACTGGGCCCTGCAGCTTGGAGGCCTCGAGTGGGGGAGGGGGCGTCCTCCAGCTCTCCTCTCCCTCTTGTCCCTTCCCACCTGGGTCCCATGGATCAAGACTGAGATGGTGGTCAGGGAAAGCTGGCCTCCCTCCCAGGCCCAGCTTCCAGGGAAAGGACAGCTCCATCTGGCCTGGGGTTGGAGAGAGAGAGAGAGAGAGAGAGAGAGAGAGAGAGAGAGAGATAGAGACAGGGCAAGGAAACCCTCACAAAAATGTCAGGGTCCCTGATGCTTCTTATAACCTGATTAGGCCTAGCAGATGAGTGTCTGAGGCTCTCGCTGAGTGTTGGTGCCGCTTCCTGCACCGACAGTCTCCTGGAGGGCCCAGACCAATCCTGCTCCTGTGTCTTCCTGCCCAGACACATTTAGGGCTACTCCTGCCTTCAGGGGGGGAAAAGCCAGTTCTCTTACACAGCTCAGTCTTGGTCACTTCTGGTGATTCTGTCTACTTGGGCTTGCTTCTCAGTGCTCCCCTTTTGCCCCCTCAGCTCATCCTTGCTAAAGCCAGCCTGCCATTGCTGTTCATAGGCTTGATGCATCAGACAGAACTTCAGGCTAACATTACCCTTAACACCCCCTTGGCCATCCCCCAGGGCCCTCCTCAAGGAACAGCCCTTCCTAGCAGTGAGCCCCCTCCCTCCCTCCTTCCCCAGACAGAGGCCTGGCCAGATCTCCACCACACCATATCTGATGGTCTTTCTACTCTCTGGACACAATGTTTTACATATGTGTTAGAGTATAAGCTTCCTAAGGACAAGAATCATATCTTGTTTGGCTCAGGGACCTTCTGTACCAAGCTATTCTCATAGCTGACAGGTGGGGGTTGGGGGGAGGAGTCACTGAATTGAACTGACAGGAAACAATGAATGTGAGCAAGAGGAGAGCATTCTGTTCCCAACCTTGTTGGCCGGCCCAGACTGGGTAGCCCCAGCATCCCTTCACCACCCATGAAAGCCCAGGCAACAGAAGGCACACAAAGCCCGCCCCCTCAAACCAATGAGGGGGAGCACAGAAGGGTTCCTGTGACCTTCCGGTCCCTCTGGACACCTCATACTCTAAACAAGGCAGGTGGTTAAAGAGAAACCCTTAGGGTTTGAGGCAGACTCTACCAAGGCACTCAGGGTGCCAGGGAGCTTGGCTAAGGCCTGGATGTCAGAAGCCCCAGGGAGAACTGGGGCTTAGGGCCTCTCCCTTAGCCTCCCCCTGCCCATCAGGGGCTGCCGCCAAGACAACCACAATGAAATTTAGTGAGTGGCAAAGGCCGTGGCAGCCAAATGGGTTTGGATATTTTGGAAGAAAGAGAAATCGAGCCAGACAAGCTGTTTCTCTGGGAAACGAGGCCATTAGGGCTTCTGGAAGGAGGCCAGCACCAGGTCATCACTGTCTTGCCAGGCCTAGGTCTCTCCTGCACTGTGTCCCTTCTGCTGGAGGCCAGGGCTCTTCTGCTGTCTTCCCTCTGTCTGGGTCTGGAGAATCCAGACTGCAGCTTAAGGAATGACATCTTTGTCCCTGTCTCTGTTCTTTACCCCCTCAAGAAGAACTTGTCTATATGCTTGAGATGACCACAGAACCCACTGTCCAAACACAACGTTTTCTGAGAGGAGAAGGAGACATTCATTGCCTGGTTCAGATGCAGGGACAACAGGCATAAATTGTGACTTCCTTGAACAATGGAACATATGGTCACTTCCCCCTTTACGTTTTATGGAGAATATCTTTAGAATCCTATATACCTTGCAAAGACCAGAAGTTACCACTTCCTTGGCTGGGACCATGAAAGAATTGGAGCAGGAAGCTGGCCTGAGATATTGGTATCTGTGTTCATCTGGGTGCCCACACCTCACACTCCAGAAGAAAACTAGCTGGCCACCAGTGTGTCACTAGTGCCGCAGTGTCTGAAAAGCACTTTGTCCCATGCTTACACCACCAGTCTTTCCCCTAATTAGCTTTCATCCCATATCATCCTCTTTTTTCCCCATTCCTCCTAACCAGGTCTATGCTACTCAGGGTACTGGCTGTACCTTGAGGGATCAGGGGGTAGGAAGAGAAGTGTCAGAATGGTGTCCACTCTCATGATCACGAGTATGGCAAGGCAATGTCCAGCTCCCCAAGTGGTCTCAATGGGAGCAGTGTCCATGTGCTACAGAGAAAGGACCCTAGGGTTGTCCATGTCAGCATCACCTGCTACTTCTATCTGGGATCAAGAGAGGCCAAAGGAGGCTGGCCTCTCATCCCCAGGTCAGATACCAGCTGTCTCCCCAACCTCTACAACCTTCCCAAGGTAAACCGTTCATGCCACTCCTCCTGGCATCCCATGGGGACAGCTGGGGTGAGTCCCAGCAGAAGGTGAGACCATCGGGGCTGAGCAGATGGTGAAGCTGGTGGCCCCGGCAGCAGCCTCCCTCCCTAGCTCCAGGAACCAGCAGGGCAGTGGGGGTCCCTCGACTTAGCTGCTAAAACTGATCTCACAGCAGAGCAGCTGCGAGGCCAGCAGAAACCGGAGCCCCGAGTCCAAGGACAAAGCATGCAAAGGGGAGCCTGAGCTCTTCCCTCCTCCCTACCTTCATCACGTTTCCTCTTCTCACCATTGGAGCGAGGAATCCCCAGGATCCCATTGATGGAGTAGGAACCCACTGGGTCATTAGAGGCGCTGGAAACAGGAGGGGAGGCCGTGCTGGGAACTGGATGAGAAGGAGGAGGAAACACCATCAGGATAGCAGTTGTGACTGAAGCCCCAGGCTGGGACGGAGTGGAGCAGAGGGCAGAAGGACAAGGAGCTCATATCTCCTTCCTTCCTCTGAGGCTTGAGGGAGGAATCACTCCCACAGACCAAGCCAGCTGTTAGCACTTCTGCCCAGCCTGAGGTGAGAGGTGACCAGTCAACCCAGCCCCACTCCCCACCCACCCCCCTCCCAGCTGCAGTCACCACCACCTATGGCATTTATTGGTCCCTCAAGCCCCTCCCCTCAGATGGATGTAGTATAGACTCAGAAACTGTCAAGATTAGCTCTCTAGAAAGCACTTCAGTGACCTGCTGGACAGCACAGTTCCAGGGATGCTCTCTGGAGCCATAATCCAAACCTCCACCTAATCCAAAAGCTGAGCAAATCCTTCCAAACAAACCCCAGTCCACTGCTCCTCAGTCTCCAGGGTTTGAGTCCTCATTAGAGTCTGAGGTTTCCTAAGATCTGTCTGTCTCTGACACTTGGAGGCAGCTCTCTCTCCCCTGGGTGCTTCTGGTCTTGAAATCATGGGGGAAGTTCCTGCTTCCCCCTGGTGAACATGCTCACCGTTGCTGTGATCAGCTCAGTTATAGCTCAGCACACCCTCCCTCCAGCATACTAACCCAGGCCTGGGTGAACAAAGATTCCTAACAGCCCAGCAGAGCTAGGCTAGCCATTTCTGTCTCCTGCTGGCCAGGAGGGAAGGAACCAAGGAGAAGTCAGTGTGCTTGTGCTTAGGACCCTGGAAAGTTGCAGCAGGTGTTTGGGCAGGCCTGGGTTGTATCTCTGAGATCCCGTGAAGAGCTAAGAGGGCCAGAGAGGGAGAGAGCAGCAGGGGTAGAGGCAAAGGTAAGAGGGAACAAGTCAAAAGAAAAGAGGCAGAAGGAAGGATGGAGAGAGACTGAGGGGCAGATCCACAGCCGTACACAGGAAGGGAGGAAGTGGACTGGGGAGGAAGGGAGAGATGGGGAGAAGAGAGAAAGATAATTTTTAAAAAATGAAAGGCTGAGGATGTAACTCTGTGGAAAAGTGTTTGCCTACCATGCATAAGGTTATGGGTTCTGTCCCTTCCTCGCCTCAATTGTTAAAAGAAATATTTACTTTTTTTGGTTGGTTTTTGTTTTTCAAGACAGGGTTTCTCTGTGTAGCCCTAGCTGTCCGGGAACTCTCTGTAGATCCCCCTGCCTCTGCCTCCCAAGTGCTGGGATTAAAGGCATGTGCCACCACTGCCCGGCAGGGTTTACTTTTTAAATTTATGTGTATGTGTGCATATATGTGTACATGCCTGGGGAGGTCAGAACAGTATCAGATCCTCTGGAACTGGAGTTACAGGTGGTTTTGAGTATTGCCTGACGTGGGTGCTGGGAACCAAACTTAGGTCCTCTGTAAGACCAATACATGTTCTTGACTGCTAAGCCATCTCTCCAGCCCACTCTTCACCCCACCCCCCAAAAAAAGATGTATTAAAAAAGATGAAGTAAAAAAGTAGCTTTGAAACAATGCAGGACTTAAAGAAGAGCAAATCAGATAAAATAAATGATGACTGAGCAGAAGAGATGCTCAGAGGAAAACGGCTTAGGGGCCCAATCGGAGGAAGCCAGACTGAGGAGGCCACATGGGAGGCACCAGAGAGGCCTAGGAGGGAAAGGAGGGATTGTGGACCATGGGACCATGGATCTCACTGGAGTGGACTGTTCCCAGAGCTGGTTGTGTTCTCTAAATCGACTTCCCTCTTTCCTGAGCCCTCTTACCGATGGTGTGGCCAGGGGCAGTCACTCCTGTCCCTGCGCCATCCGGTGTTGGGTGGAAAGGCTGCTGAACTTTGGTCCGAATGATCCTGCAAAGCATCACAACAGCATTACACATGCAGGCCAGGCCCAGGCTCGCCCTGCCTGCCACCCCACCCTGGCCCTGCTTTCCTACCCGAACCCACTACAGCAGAGGTGGCCCATAGTCTGTCCTGCACTGAGCACCAGCTGAACTATAGCTTGAGTTTGGGCAGCTTGACTCAGGGCTCAGTCAAATGGAGCACAGCACCTTTTCCATTTCTGAGTGGTGAGGACTGCCCTGGCCAGTGGTCCACCTTCCTTCCTCGGCCACATTCATGTAACCCCTAGTCCCAGGAACACCCGAGTCTGGGGGTCATTTTGGCTGGCTTTCCAAATAGGATTATAGTTAGGGAAGGAACTTCCTCGTATATTGAAAAGGCAGAAAGGCAGGGCTGGGCCACAGGTGATCACACAACATTACCTAGTCCCTTTGCCAGGCATCAGGCCCCACACAAACTGATCCTCATCTGACTGGCTTACAGCCTCCCTTTCTTTTCTATGGTCTTCCTTGAGTCAGAGCTCCTTTTACCAGACTGGTTGAAGAGCTAGTGCCATGCTTGTGCACCCCGGGGAAAGAAAGGAACCAATCAAACCCTCCAGGGAGGGAGCAGCACACCTTGCAGGAGTCCAGAAAATCACAGAGCTCCATAATGCAAGAGACCAAGCTCGGGGACTGGGGATGCTGCTCCCTCCACCCTGTCCAGCTCAGCATTGCTCCTCCCTACAGAGAGCCAAGTTTGCCTCTACCGTCCCAGTAAGTTGCATGCCCTGAACCATTCAATTTTAGCTCTTCTTCTTCTTCTTCTTCTTCTTCTTCTTCTTCTTCTTCTTCTTCTTCTTCTTCTTCTTCTTCTTCTTCTTCTAGATAGGGTTTCCCTGGCTGTCTTGGAACTTGCTCTGTAGATCAGGCTGGCTCCAACTCACTCACAGAGATCCCCCTGCCTCCTGAGTCCCTGAGTGCTGGGATTAAAGACGTGGGCCACCACCACCCAGTTCAGTTTTAACTTTTAGTGCTCACCTGTAGGCACATAGTTAAGACCCTGTCTCCCAGTGCTGTAAGTTGGGAGCGTATGCCAGGTAGCCAAAGGCAATGAGGCAGCCAGTGCCAGGGGGAGAACCACCCCTTGAAGGTAGGGACCAGGGCGGAGAAGTCAATGAGGAGGCAGAGCCTGGCACAGCCCCAAAGCAGAGCTGAGCTGAATGCAGGAGGGGCCCAGAAAACAGTATAAAGTGTACCAGGCTGTACAACAGAGTCAATATGGGTCTGTCTTGGTCACTAAGAAGCCACACAGCCTCACATTTATCACTTAGTGTCTTTGTGCCTCAGTTTCTCCAAGTGAACAATAAAGGGCTCACAGGGACACAGTGTCTCCAAGGTCTCTTTCCCCAGGAAAAAATAATATGATTTTAAGAGGAACAAGAGAATGGAGGGAGGAGGCATTATACACAGGAGCTGGAGGAGGGTGGAAGATTAGTGAGGAGGCCTAGGAGGAACACCAAGGCTGGGGCTGATGCCTACACCACACCCATACCCAGAAGTAGCAGAGGTGTGAACAGTAAGGAGAGGAAATGGGGCTGATGATGGAAACAGCTATTTCCACTCATTAAAATGTTGTGCATCAATATTATATATAATCTATGTGATTCCATATGTGCTTCTGCTAATTTTCCCAACTTCAGTAATAAGTGCCATTGTCTTCATTTTTCAGATAGAAAACCAAAGCTGACAAAGGTTACTGATTAAGGTTTCTTGAAGACCATACTGCCAGTTAGAGTGGAATCTAAATTCAGTCTCTAAAACCTGCATCTTCTGCTACTTTGCCATCTTTCCCTCATCATGTAAGAACCAAGCCTTAGAGGTCTGAAGCCATGAGCAATGCTCAAACTAGAGGGGACACAATCAAAGTGATTGACCTCAGGAAGCTAATGTGTCGGCATGAGGTAATAGCAAGCTGGTCTCAAGAAAGAAAGGGCGGAATCTTCCAGGGCGTGAAGGGAAAGAAGCAAGGGAGGGTCGCCAGGGTTTGGCGATGAATTGGAGTGAAGCATGGCTCTAAAACACTTCTGAGTCATGGAAGCCGTGTGGCATGGGTCATCGTGGAGAACGGGATGCAGGAAAGTGAGTGGAATTGGAAGAAAGTGTGATGTCGGCAAGTCCAGGCATGGGCTGGTCCAGAAGGAAGGAGTTTATTGGTAAAGGGGCATGGAACAGTACGGGAGGCTACAGCAGTGGCCACTGGCAGCACCGATGTAGAGCAGGGTAGCCCGGCCTCAGTAGATGGAGGAAGACATGTTAAGGATTTAGTCTATAGTGCCAATGGTGATATCAAAAAGTGCAGGGGTTTGAGAATAAAAAGAGGCTTATATTTGGGAATCAGGGTGACCTTTAGTGACTTTGAGAAGTGTCTGAGCCAGACATCTGGAACAGGATCCTGGCAAAAGAGGTGCAGGGAAGAGGAAAGTTCTTAAAAAAAAACAACAACAAAAACAAACAAACAAACAAAAAAGACTGTGGTGTGGAAGTCACAGGACAGCACCAACAACAAAAACAAACAAACAAACAAACAAACAAAAAAGACTGTGGTGTGGAAGTCACAGGACAGCTCAGTAACCTCAGAGTGTAGGAAGGGTGGCTCAGGGCAGGAACGAGGGTACAGAGAAGAGGAAGAGGGTGGGGTTGCCAGGGGACTAGAGGATGCAGAGCACGGCAGAATAAAAAGTGACAGGCGCGAAGGACCAGAGCAGAGGTGGACATACACAACATGAATGTCAGAAGGAGCTTTTACAGCTTTGCACTCTCAGTAGCCAGAAGGTAGAGGAGAGGTTTGATTCTGACCACTGAGAACAATATGACCTCACCATCAAGAAAATTTAGAAGGAAGGACTTCTCCCAAGCAGCTGTTACGACACAAGCTTCCAGGGTGTGGGGAACCTGCAGTGACTCTGCTTATAGGCTGACAGACTGGTTTATGGAGCTCCAGGGCTGGGTCCGGGGCACACAGATAACTGGACTGGCTGGTGGAGTTCCTGTCTTTATTACCAGAGCCTCTGACCCCCGAGGCACTGATACAGATTTAGCTGAGGCAGCAAGTGATGGAAAATCACTATGCCCTGACAGCAGCTTGGTGGTGCATGGGAGAGAAGTTGGGCAGGGTGCCTGCTGTGAGTTACTAAGGCTCTTGGTGTCCATCCATGGCTCCAGGCAGTGGGCACCTGCCAGGTCCCAGAGCTGGTCTTAGGGAATTTAAGAACCACGGTTGTGAAAACCCTATGGTTATTTATGTTCCTCCTACATTCTGTGCTCAACGTGGGAAGGGACACTGCTCCCCCTTTCCACCCAAGCAGGCTTTCCCACCCGGGGTGCACTTTCCTCCTCCATTTCAATGTGAGCTCAGTCTGCTCACACTGATCCCAATACACGGACGGCTGGGATTTCAACGTCTCCCAAGGATGCATGTATGGCTAAAGGAATTCAGATTTTGGTTTTGTTTTTTTTTTTTTAAAGATGTTTTTATTTTCATTTTATGTGAATAAGTATTTGCCTGTATAGATGTATAAATAAGTACTATGTGCATGCCTGGCACCAATGGGGGACAGAAAGGGGCACTGGATTCCCTGGAATTGGAATTATAGACCGTGTGCCTTCCAGGTGCTGAGTGGCAGTACAGCCGTGCACCATCACAGAGAGGGATTTGGGATATAGGCTCCAGGCTCAGTCTACCTGAGTCAGAATCCCAGCTCTGTTTCATTCTTCCTGGGAAGCCCTTGGACTTTAGTTATTCCTTTAACTGTAAAATGAGATAGTACTACGATGGACTTCCCAGGGCTGTGGTGAGGATTAAGTAGGATAATTCATGTAAAGTGATTAGTGTGATGGTCGGCTCGATAAACACTGGCTGTAATAATAATGTTTGCTTGTGTTATTATCCCTGTGGGTGACCCCTATGCCTAGCTGCTTTCAATTTAGGGGTTGAGCCAGGTACAGGCAGGAGGTCTCCCTTCTCAATATGCCCCAACTGGATCAATGCAGGTACTCCCTGGGAAGAAATGGAGAAGATGGGATGAACAGCAGCAGGAGTCACAGGCTGCCATCAGAAAGACTTCCTGAAAGGCAGACTGGGCCTGGACCAAGTTCTGCCAGAGTGCACTGGGATGGACCCACAGAGGACTTCACAGCATACATAGGGTGATGAAGCAGAGGGTGAGGTCACTTCCTCTTAGTTAAACTCCCAGGAGACCTCCACTTCCTCCCACCTTGAAGATCAAAACAGTCTCAGGTGCTCTGTGAGACAGACGAAAGTCTGCCTGAGTCTCCCCAGCAAGCCTGCTAAATTGATGAGGAGACAGCTCAACCTTCCATGGGGAAAGACTCCTACTTAACCCTTCTCTCTCTTTCTTCTCCTTCTCCCATGGTTTCCTCTATTTCCTTCTCTGCCTCTTCATCTCTGTCTCTGCCTCTGCCTCTGCCTCTCTCTCTCTCTCTCTCTCTCTCTCTCTCTCTCTCTTTGTCCATCTGTCCATCTCCTTGCACCCTGAAGTCCCACTGTGGCTGTGTGAGTTTATTGATTCCTGGGAGCTGGGGGGAAGTGGGAGGTAGGGCTGGGGTGCCGGGCTCACGGATGGAAATAGAAGGCTATAAATTATTTGTGACAGGAAAGCAATAGAGGCAGAGTGCTGAGCACAAGTCCTGTGTCACTATTAGATTCCTTTTAGCCTGATGACACTGTAAAAAAGGTTAAGTGTCTGCTGGAATCGTACACCTGGGGGGCCGGGTTGGCCTGGGAGCAGAACAAGCCACTGAGAGCAGGTATATCAATTCTCCAGGCCAATAATATTCCTCTCATTGATCGCCACGCAAAGTTCAAAAATCTCATTACAGCCAGGCAGACCGGGAACTTTTTACAAATCAATAGAATGATATAATGTATGTATACTTAGTACAAATGTATCTATTCATCTATCCATCCATCCACAGTCTGCCTCAGGGTTTCCAAGTTAACCTACCCAT